TTATATATAGAACACGGGTTGAAGAAGGAATTGCGTTTCGTGTTCTAAAGATGAGAAAATAAAGTTAATTCTAATACCATTTATCTGGGCTTTGATAAAACTGATACAAAAAAAATTGGCCGAACTTGATAAAAGTGTATAGTACCCCCCCCCCCCCCAAAAAAAAAAAAAAAAAAAAAAAAATCCAACATGAACATCAAATTTAAAAAGTATATGATGAAGGGATAGAAAAAATCGTGGAATATGAATTGAGAACGAAAACAAAAGGCAATCCACCAAAAAAAAAGGTAATTGACAATTGAATAGCATTTTGAAGCACATGTAACCCGCTCCATGAATATTCTTTTTTTGTTGTTTCCTTTCATGCGAACACAGATCAGTGCGTGTTAGTGGGCATGCATTCGAACGGGCATTTTAGGATTTCAGGTAAAAAGGCATTTAGGATTTCAGGTAAAAAGGAGGATTTCATTTCAGGTAAAAAAGGCATTTTAGGATTTCAGGTAAAAGGCATTTTAGGATTTCAGGTAAAAAGGCATTTCAGGTAGGGGATTTCAGGTAAAAAGGCATTTTAGGATTTCAGGTAAAAAGGCATTTTAGGATTTCAGGTAAAAAGGCATTTTAGGATTTCAGGTAAAAAGGCATTTTAGGATTTCAGGTAGGTAAAAAGGCATTTTAGGATTTCAGGTACAAAAGGCATTTTAGGATTTCAGGTAAAACGGCATTTTAGGATTTCAGGTAAAAAGGCATTTTAGGATTTCAGGATTTCAGGTAAAAAGGCATTTTTAGGATCAGGTAAAAAGGCATTTTAGGATTTCAGGTAAAAAGGCATTTAGGATTCAGGTAAAAAGGCATTTTAGGATTTCAGGTAAAAAGGCATTTTAGGATTTCAGGTTTTAGGATTTCAGGTAAAAAGGCATTTTAGGATTTCAGGTAAAAGGCATTTTTTTTCAGGTAAAAAGGCATTTAGGATTTCAGGTAGGCATTTTAGGATTTCAGGAAAAAAGCATTTTAGGATTTCAGGTAAAAAGGCATTTTAGGATTTCAGGTAAAAAGGCATTTTTAGGATTTCAGGTAAAAAAGGCATTTTAGGATTCAGGTAAAAAGGCATTTTAGGAATTTCAGGTAAAAAGGCATTTTAGGATTTCAGGTAGGATTTAAAAAGGCATTCAGGTAAAAAGGCATTTTAGGATTTCAGGTAAAAAAGGCATTTTAGGATTTCAGGAAAAAAGGCATTTTAGGATTTCAGGTAAAAAGGCATTTTAGGATTTCAGGTAAAAAGGCATTTTAGGATTTCAGGTAAAAAGGCATTTTAGGATTTCAGGTAAAAAGGCATTTTAGGATTTCAAGGTAAAAAGGCATTTTAGGATTTCAGGTAAAAAGGCATTTTAGGAATTCAGGTAAAAAGGCATTTTAGGATTTCAGGTAAAAAGGCATTTTAGGATTTCAGTAAAAAGGCATTTTAGGATTTCAGGTAAAAAGCATTTTAGGATTTCATTTTAGGATTTCAGGTAAAAAACATTTTAAGGAGGATTTCAGGTAAAAAGGCATTTTAGGATTTCGTACAACTGGGCGTTTTTGGGATTTCGTATTAAGAGGGATTTTTAGGATCTCGTGCAAATGGACATTTTAGGATTTTAGTTTTTTTTATCACGTTTAATTGCTCGCCGGTTGTGCATTCTGTCTTCAAGGTTGAAAATGGATTTTATCTTGTAATTGGCGAAAATTGTTCTTAGCTTAGGTCCTGGAAAAGACTTCTTTGGAGTCTTAGATATATTTTTCAGGCGATTTTATATATAATTAAAGCCATTATCCTTTTCTTTTTTCGTGTCTGGATTGACGAGAGATTTAAACGTGAGTGAAGGAAAACGAGGAAGACAGGAATAACAAATAAAATGAGACGAATGATAAATAACAAATAAAATGAGACGAATGAGGGACTGGAATAACAAATAAGATGAGACGAATGGCTAACAGGAATAACAAATAAAATGAGACGAAGGACGAACAAGAATAATAAACAAAATGAGACGAATGACGAACAGGAGTAACAAAAAAAAATGAGACGAATGAGGAACAGGAATAACAAATAAAATGAGACGAATGACGAACAGGAGTAACAAACAAAATGAGACGAATGAGGAACTGGAGCTGCGCGAAACGCGTACTGATCGTACCGCTAACAAGAACAGTACTCAGTCATGTGATTTATGTTAATTAGCCGCATACCGTTCCTGGCCCGTCGGATCGCTGATGGCTACCGGAAACTAATTATAATTAACTTTTGGTCCGTAATTGAAGCACTGTGGGATCTGTTGCAGGCTTTCGGATTTATGCGTGGTTAAATATCATGTTGGAATGTGTATGTGGTGTGTTGGGCTGGGTGGCTGTGTATGTGGTGTGCGGTGCTGGGGGCTGGGTGGCTTGTGTATGTGGTGTGCTGGGCTGGGTGGCTGTGATGTGGTGTGTTAGGTTGGTGTGTATGTGTATGCTGGGCTGGGTGGCTGTGGTATGTGGTTGCTGGGCTGGGTGGCTGTGTATGTGTGTGGCCTGGGTGTGTGTATGTGGTGTGCTGGGCTGGGTGGCTGTGTATGTGGTGTGGCTGGGTGCTGTGTATGTGGCTGGCTGGGCTGGGTGGCTTGTGTAAGTGTGTGTGCTGGGGCTGGTGGGCTGTGTGTATGTGGTGTGCTGGGTCTGGGTGGCTGTGTATGTGGTGTGCTGGGCTGGGTGGCTGTGTATGTGTGTGGTGTTGGGCTGGGTGGCTGTGTATGTGGTGTGCTGGCTGGGTGTGTGTGTATGTGGTGTGTGGGGCTGGGTGGCTGTGTATGTGGTGTGCTGGGCTGGGTGGCTGTGTATGTGGTGGGATCCTGGGTGGCTGTGTATGTATGGTGTGCCGGGGGCTGGGTGGTACCTTAGTGTATAGTGACAGTGTGACTACTGGACTTGAGGTGAACCTGTGTAATGCTTGGTGTGCTAGAGAGTCCTGGGTGGCTGTTGATAATTAAGTTACGTGTGTATGTTTATCTGATGAGTGATGTATGTGGCTTAAGTGTATTAAGTAGGAATGTGACTTGGGCTGGTGGGGTCTAAGTAGTATTAACGTGGTGTGCTGGGACTGGTTGGTAGTGTATGTAATGTAATGGTGTGCCTTGAGTATGGGTGGCTTGTTATGTGAAAGTGTGTTGTGCTTGAGGTGGCTTGTTATTGTGGTTGTGCTGCTGGTAGCTGGTGAGCTGTGCTGTGTATTGTATGGTATGTACTTAGTGGTTGTGCCTCGGCGCTGGCGTCCTGGCTGTGCTCAGTGTTATGTGAGTTGTGAACTGGGCCTGGCGTGGCTGTCAGGTATCTGTCGGTGTGCTGGGCATAGGGTGGGTACATTGTGTATCATGGTTAGGTGCTGGGGCTGAGGTGACTGTGGTATTAGTCTAAGTATGGTGGTCCTTGGCTGGGTGGCTTGTTGAATATGTTGTGTCGGTGCTGAAGTGAACTGGGTTGGACTGTTGTATGTGGTGATGCTGGCTGGGTGCTGTCTGTAGTTTGGGTGTGACTTATTGGAGATCAATTGGATGGCTTGATGATAATGTGTAAGTTGAATGGCTGAGCTGAGGTGGTAACTGGTGTTATTAGTGGTGTGCTGGCACTGTAATGATTGCGCTAGGCTCTATTCGGATAATAATTATGCGTGGTTATAAAACTATCATGTTTTGGATCTAGTGTATGCTGTGTGTAGTATGGAGTCTGTGGTGAGTATCTGTGTTATGTGGTTCGTGCATAGGGCTGGGTGTGCTGTGTATGTGGTGGGCTTAAATAGGAATTGTATCTGATGTAATTGATGGTTATGATTGCTGGGAACTTGGGTGAAGCTGTGTATGTGGTGTGTAGGTGGCTTTGTGTCATGTTGTGTATTGAATTTCTACTGAAGGCGCACTGGGTGGAGTGTGTAATAAATGTGTTGTGCGGATGGGCTGGGCTCGGACTGTAGTAATGCTGGAGTGGTGTACACCACATAGTGGTTTTGGGGGTATGGTCATGGATGAGGTGTATTACTGGTGCACCATGTTGGAGCTTGGGGGTGGTGGAGAACCTCTGAATGGTAGAAATAATGGAAGATAGTGAGCTCGCAGGCAGCTGGACCTGTGAGTGGACAGCAGGTCGCATGGGCTGGTGTGCCGCTGTAGTCATGTCTCTTGTGTGGGATGAGGGGACGTTCGTGGCTACATGGAGTGGCGTAGTAGTATTTCTATTGCGTGCCCGTGTGCTGGGTCTGGAGAGTGCAGCTGTCCGATCACTGCTGGGTTGCGGTCAGGCTCGGGGATTGGCCATTGAGATGTTTAATCGCTTGGCTTTACGTGAATTGGGCCACGGACACTACACTGAGGTGCGGACACCAAACGATGGTGTTAAATGTAGCGCGCTCGCCATCGCGGCTAACTTCTGGTGTAAGTCCTGCTGTGATGAGGGTCGAGATAATAAACGCAGGAGGACCAAATACGGCTAGTGGAGCCATCAGTTGAACTATAAGTGGAAATAGATGAACTGAAGAATGGGTAAACATAGGACGGTACCTGCAGGCATTGTCCGAATAGATCATTGGATGGGACATATACAATGAGGCCATCAAGGACTGTAGATCACTCGATGCGTGTTGTCACTGGGAACCCTGAACAGAGAGATGGCTAGCTGTTATGATGAGATCATAAAGAGCTACGGGATTGCGGATCGCGCGGTTCGGAGGGGACGATTAGGTTGTGCTGCGTCTCGGGCTGGGTCGTAGTGTATGCTGGTGGGAAACGATATGGGTTATTGTGACTTGCGCTCCCTGGGGGGGGCTGTGGTAGGGTAGTGGCCTGGGGCTGTGTCGCTGGTGCGCTGTTGGTACTTCCCACCGATGCAGTAGTGACTTGGGGTTTACTAAGCGGGGTGTACTCGATTGTATAGGGGCGCGTGGTGCTAGGTGTATGAGTGGCCGGTGCACATGTTGGATAGTGTATGGCTTGGGTGGTCTAGTGGTACGTGGTGGTTGATGCTCGGGCTGGGTCGCGCACTGTGCACCGCTGTGGACTGTAGCGTGGGGTGCTGGGACAGCTGGGTGGGCTGTGCTGTGTATGGGTGTGCTGGGACTGGGTGGCGTGATGGATGTGTGCTGCTGCTGGGTGGTTGTATGAGGGAGGAGTGAGTGTAGCGGAGGGCCGTGGGTGGGGACATGGAGTGGGTATGTGGTAGGTGGCCTTGGACTGGGTGGCTGTGTATGTTGGTAGTTGGCTAGGGGCTGGGGAGTGGCTGTGTAAATGGGGGGATGACTGGGCTGGTGGCTTTTGTATGGGGATTGTGCTGGGTGCTGGGTGGCTGTGTATGAATGTGTGTTGATTGGATCTGGTGGTGATGTAGATGTTGGTGTAGCTGGCTTGGTGTGGACTTGTGTATAGGGAAGTGGTGCAATAGGGACTAGGAGTAGAGCAAAAGAGAACATGTGTATGTGGTGTGAACTGGGGGCTTGGGATGGGACAGTGTGTAATAGGTTGGTAGTGGCTGGACTGGGGTGAGACCGGGTGCATGAATGGAGTGGCTGAACGGGTGGCTGTGTATAGGTGGTGTGCTGGGCTGGGAGGGGCTGATAGTGGGGTGCTTGAGCAGGGTGGGGCAGTGTGTAGAAGTGTGGTATGGTGCTGGGCTGGAGTAGGCTGGGTGATGTGGATGTGCTGGGACGTGGGGTAGGGCTGTGTATATGTTGGATGGGTGACCGTAGGAGATGGGTGAGCTGTGTAGTGTGGTGTGTAATGGGGGCTGTGTATGAGTGGTGTTGGTGGAGACTGGGTGGCTGGGTATGGGTGGTGTCTGGCTGGTCTGGTGTATTGGTGTGAGGCTAGAAGGGAGACTAGTGGCTGTAGGGAATGTGGGGTGTGGACTGAGGAACATGGGTGGGCGTGGGTGTGAGTGGTGATGGCTAGGAGGAATGGGGTAGGAAGCTAGGTGTATGTGGGTGTTGGTGGCTTAGTGTTATGTGGTTGTGCTGGGCTGGTGGCTGTGTATGGTGGTGTGGCTGGGCTGGGTGGCTGAGTGTATGTGGTGTGCTGGGCTGGGTGGGCTGTGTATGTGGTGTGTTGGGTGGGGCTGTGTATGGGTGTGCTGGGCTGGGTGGCTGTGTAATGTGGTGTGCTGGTTGGGTGGGCTGTGTAGTGTGGTGTGCTAGGCTGGGTGGTTTGTGGTAGGTGGTTGGTGTTAGGGTGGGCTGTGTATGTGGGTATGCTAGGCTGGGTGCTGTGTATGATGTAAGGATTGCTGGGCTTGGGTGGCTGTGTATGTGGTGTGCTGGCTGGGTGGCTGTGTATGTGGTGTATTGGGGGCTGTGTATGTGGTATGTTGGGCGTGTTTTTATTAGTGACTGTATTTGGATATTTCTGTTTGTGTGGCATGTGTGTGTTTATATTTGTACTGTAAAGTCAATATATATATTTATAGGAGGAAATGCTTTATGATTTACATTACAAAGTCGGGAGTTTGAAAAGCGTAAATCATATTCATGGCATATGATGGGAGTTCACGTATAGGTGAACTAAGTGTAGCAGTGATATGCTTTATGTTTGCATATGCTATAGTACAGCCATATTTGCTGCATGAAAACGTTTGTGTTATGTGTCCTTATTTTTTTTTTTGTCATGAAAATCCGTCTGTACTGAAAAAACAGTAAATAACAGCCGGTTTCTTTGGCAGTAATCCAATTCTTGGCTTAGTAGTCCAGTCACTCATTCGGTCCTTCCCGTTCCCGCGCCCGTGCACACACACGCACGCACGCGCACTGCACAGCACAACACACACACACACCACACACACACACACACACACAAACACACACACACACACACACACACACCACACCACACACACCACACACACACACACACACACACACACACACACACATTTCATTCTTCCCTTTGTCGGATATTGCATTCCATGTGGACACATCCCTCTTCAAGCACCTTCCATTCCTTCTCATTCTTTGCCCTCCTCGTCTAGAATATTCTTGCGCAATTACTGATCAACTTCCCATATTCCTAAACATCAGGGCTCCTCTTCTGTCTCCTCTCTTTCCTTCTGCTCTCGTTCTCCTCGCTTTCCTGTTCTTTATCTGTTCTGGCTTGATGAACAGCCCGTTTCGCTTTTTGCTATTTCTCGTAAAACATCTGTAAAATGCGTCTCTTTTCACATTTTTATGTCTTTCGAAATATCCACCCACCCGTTAGCGTCGCCCTGTTGTAGTTCCATCATGTCCCTCATATTCTCAAGGTTGGCTAAGATACGTATGGTTATCTTCCATGTCCTGTTATTACGTCTTCCATCTCAGTCTGAAGCCTGTGTATTAGAGTTTATATTTGACCTTTCTCTCGTGCATATCCCATTCCATTTCATTTCTTCGTCTGTTTATTTTGTGCATATGGTGCCGGTTGTGCTATTTGCGTAAACTAAGACGTGTTATAAGCTCTTCTTCGTCTGTTTGAACTCCTCCTCCTCCTTTTGCTAGATCTATCTTCTTGAATACTTCTTGGAAGACGCTAGTAAAGATCTTTCTGCCTGACTTCTCCTTTCAGGGAATGTTATGTCTGAACATTCTTCTTCAGGTATATTTGTGATGCTGCGTGTTAGTATATTCAGAGGAAAATAAATCTAACTGTCAGAATTATGCATGTTATTAATAGCATCTTGATTTTTTCTTTCAAGAAGACTGTCGTTTTCTTTTCACAGATTATAGAATATGTGCCTATATCAATTTATTTTCTTGCTTTTTTTTTCTGCAACCTTATGAATTCGGTTGATGTGGTGTGGGAGCACCTACAATCACCGAATGGGTTTATTAAAAAAACAACACATACCACAGTACAGATAAACAGGCATTAGTTTAGCTAGTTTACCTCGAGATAGACCACCCGCCCCTCCCCCCATACACAGCCCGTGCACACCGGCCACCAGCTGCTGTCCCGCTAGTAGTGGCGTGGCAGAGACAGGGAGACACACGGAGCATAAATACTGTGAAATGTGTAAGTGAAGCCTCNCTCTCTTCTCTCCTCTCTCTCTCTCTCTCTCTCTCTCCTCTCTCTTCTCTCTCTTTCTCTCTCTCTCTCTCTCTCTCTCTCTCATCTCTCATTCTCTTTCGAATGCAGTGTACGAAATGCGCCCCGCAATCAAAGACGCCTCAACCGATTTGCCGCCTCAATCTTAACGAGAAAATTGCACAGCATCCCTCACTACCTTCCTCCTCCTCTCCCTCCCCTTCCCTCATGACCTCCTCCCTAATCTTCTCCCCGCACTCTCCCTCTCGCTACTGTTCCCTCCTCTCCCCCTCCTCTCCCTCTCCCTCTCACTCTCTCCCACTCCCTCCTCTTCCCCCTTACTCTACCTCTCCCTACTTTCCCCCCTCCCTCTTCCTCTTTCCCCTCTCTCTCCCTCTCCCCTACTTTCCCCCTCACTCTCCCCCACTCCTACTCCTCCCCTCACTCTCCCTCTCCTTCCTCCTTCCCCCTCACTCTCCTCTCCCTCCCTCCTCCCTCTCCCTCCTCTCTCCCCCCCCTCATCTCCCCTTTCCTTCTGCCACTCTCTGTCCTCCCGTCCCCCCCCCCCTTCCCCTACCACACCCACTGCTATACCCCCCTTTACCCTGCCCCCCCCCCCCACCCTTTGTCTTGTCTGCCGCCGCTGGTGCATATTTTCCTTCCGCCAAAGGCAAGGAAGAAGGAAATTGTGTGACTTCAGTGGGAAAGGCATCATTAGACCCGAGTCTGGCACCCGATCGGCGGACTTTCCCCACAGACGCGCGGGCGACGTGTGTGCCGTGTGTGGTGTGTGTGTGTGTGTGTGTGTGTGTGTTGTGTGTGTGTGTGTGTGTGTGTGTGTGTGTGTGTGTGTGTGTGTGTGTGTTGTGTGTGGTTGTGCCTAAGGCGCCTCTTTTCCTGTGCTAACTTCTCCTTTTCTTTTATCTCTTCCGTTTTTTTTTTTTTTTTTGCCTCTCTCTGTATACATTTTTCCTTATAACTCTTTGTATATGTATTCTTTTATTCCATTTTCTTTAGTGTATTCATTTCCCTTGCGTTGCTTTTATTGTTTTTTTTTTCTTCGGGATATTGTCCATTGTTTCTTTGCTCGAATGTTTGTCTCTCCGCGTGCCTATATGTCCACCTCCTCCTCCCTCCCTCCCCTCCTCCCCTCTCTCTCCCTCCCCTTCCTCCCTTCCCTACTACCTTCCTCTTCCTCCCTTCCCTCCCTCCCTCTCCTTACTCCCTCCCTCCCCTCCCTCCTACCCTTCCTACCCTTCCTCCCCTTCTCCCCTCCCTCCCTTCCCTTCCCTTCCCTTCCTTCCCTTCCCTTCCCCTCCCCTCCCCTCCCCTCCCTCCCCTCCCCTCCCCTTCCCCTCCCCTCCCCTCCCCTCCCTCCCCTCCCGTTCCCCCAAATCTCCCAATATCCACCGCCCTTTGCCCAGGACTGACTCTTCGCCCCGGATTGAGTCAATAGACATATTTGCAATAGAGGGATATATAACTCTACGGATAAGACGGACGTTTTCACTATCCGGCGCGGGCGGGTCGTGGCGGACCCTGGCGTCGGTTTTTGGTTGGCGTTCGGTTGTTTATGTCGTGATTCCGAGTGTGTGTGTGTGTTGTGTGTGTGTGTGTGTGTGTGTGTGTGTGTGTGTGTGTGTGTGTGTGTGTGAGTGTGTTTGTGTGTGTGTTGTGTGTGTGTGTGTGTGTGATGTGTGCGTTTGTGTGTGTGTGTGTGAGTGTGTGTGTGTGTGTGTGTGTGTGTGTGTGTGTATGTGATCCCTATTTTGGTTATGATGAGGGTTATATAGAGAACACGGGTTTGAAGGAAGGAATTGCGTTTCATGTTTGAGTAAAGATGAGAAAATATAGATAATTCTAGTACCATTTATCTGTGGCTTTGATAAAACTGATACAAAAAAAAATGCCGAACTTGATAAAAGTGTATAGTACCCCCCCCCCCCCCAAAAAAAAAAAAAAAAAAAAAGAAAAAGAAAGATAAAATAAATAAAAAACAATCCAACATGAACATCAAATTTAAAAAGTATATGATGAAGGATAGAAAAAATCGTGGAATATGAATTGAGAACGAAAACAAAAGGCAATCCACCAAAAAAAAAGGTAATTGACAATTGAATAGCATTTTGAAGCACATGTAACCCGCTCCATGAATATTCTTTTTTTGTTGTTTCCTTTCATGCGAACACAGATCAGTGCGTGTTAGGGGGCATGCATTCGAACGGGCATTTTAGGATTTCAGGTAAAAAGGCATTTTAGGATTTCAGGTAAAAAGGCATTTTAGGATTTCAGGTAAAAAGGCATTTTAGGATTTCAGGTAAAAAGTTCATTTTAGGATTTCAGGAAAAAGACATTTTAGGATTTCAGGTAAAAAGGCATTTTCATTTCAGGTAAAAAGGCATTTTAGGATTTCAGGTAAAAAGGCATTTAGGATTTCAGGTAAAAAGGCATTTTTAGGATTCAGGTAAAAAAGGCATTTTAGGATTTTAAAAAGGGATTTTTTAGGATTTCAGGTAAAAAGGCATTTTAGGATTTCAGGTAAAAAGGCATTTTAGGATTTCAGGTAAAAAGGCATTTTAGGATTTCAGGGATTTCAGGTAAAAGGCATTTTAGGATTTCAGGTAAAAAGGCATTTTAGGATTTCAAAAAGGCATTTTAGGATTTTCAGGTAAAAAGGCATTTAGGATTCAGGTTTTAGGATTTCAGGTCAGGGTAAAAGGCATTTTAGGATTTCAGGTAAAAAGGCATTTAGGATTTCAGGTAAAAAGGCATTTTAGGATTTCAGGTAAAAAGGCATTTAGGATTTCAGGTAAAAAAGCATTTAGGCATTTTAG